ACTCGACAAACTCATTGTAAGCTTAAGTTATGTGCATTTCACTGTATGCAAATTTTGCCTTGATAAAAAACTCTCCTTTTTGTACACAAGTTCTGTCTGCTGGAACTGTTTTACAAATACTAATGACTCCTAGGAATCCAATTCTTTCAAAATTTCTCGATCCTAAAATTTAGTGTCTTTGCCAGGGAAATAAAGCTGGTAATGGAGACTGCTTCCGTTCTCAGTAACTTGTGAAGTCTATGAGCAAACACAAAGTGCTTGAGGACTGCACTCTTACTCCATTAAAAGGGGTGAAATCACCATAGTAAGTCTCAATCTAAATATAATCACACAATAAAGATTGCAAGACAAATTAAATATATAATTTTTCCCATGGTTTCCTCTCTAGCTAAGCTGTTTTACCAGTAGACTTAGATGACCAGTAGCCTCTTAACTCAAACCAGAGAATAGAACTATTTTGGTGAAAATGCCTTAAAATTAAAACTCATATAAATCATTAAATTTTAACTACCTTTACTGTTAATTCTTATATATTCGGGCATGATTCATTTCCACTGAAATGAAATGTTCAAGAGCTCAGAAGTGGGATGGGTTAAGAAAACATGCTACTAACTTTAATGTGACACCATGCACACTGAGAGGGAAAAGTTTTTGCCTAATTTGTAACAGAAGGTTCATATCATAAAAAATAGTAATGGATGGGGCACCTGGCCGGCTCAGTAGGCAGAGCATGTGACTTGATCTCAGGATCATGAGTTCAACTCCATGTTGGGCAATGGAGCCCACTTACTAAAAAAAAAAGGTCTTGTTAAAAAAAAAACAACTGGTAATTAAATAGCAAAAAGCACACTCGTCAGCTATAAGATTTTTGTTTCCTTGTTTTAACTAATCTGTTTCTAGTAGTATACATAGGAAAATATTTCATGCAAGGAATTTGGGCACCCAGAGCCTAACAAAAATTTCACTTTTAAGACTGAATTTAGATGATGAATATAAGGAAACAAAAAAATTTGCCACTGCAGTATATGACTTTTACAATTCTTCATGTATCATCTAAATGGCCATAAATGGCCAGAGACTCAAAATAGATAACCTTGTCACTAAAAAGGTTAAATAAAAAATATTTTTTGGGACCTGTTTTCTCCCATGGCCAAAGAGACTGGTGTTTTTTTCTTTACGTCTTTTTAAATTCGAAAAATATCGTAACTTGGCCATCATTTATTCTTCTAGATCATATCTGTAGTTCTTCGCTATAAAGTTCCAGTGTCCGAGGTACTGACCCTACTTTTCTGCTTTAAGATGCATCGACAGAAAGAACCTTGTCTCTGAAATTGCATCCATGGGTGGGCCTGATGTGTAAGACCCCCTCCTGTCTTTTCCCCGCCCCAGTACAGTGTGGCTGATGCCCAAACACATTTAGAGCACAGTCACTTAAGAGTAGAAGAGTGGTTAACTCATGTGGTTAATCACAAGCCACTTACTTAGAACTTTTATAATATGAACCCCTGCTTCGATAGCAAGCTTGCTGACAAGTTTTAAGCGAAGACGCCACTGAATGCCAAACACCTTTACTACAGACTGATCACCAAGAACTCAAACTCATGGGAGTAAAAGGAGGACCGAGGAATGTATTGCTGCCAGCCAGCCCACTAACCACTGTGTAACACTGCCTCTGTTTACCATTCATTTCTTGTCCTGGCACATTGAAGTATTTGGTTTCTTTTTTTTTAGATTTTTATTCATTTGAGACAGATAGAGCATGAGAAGGGGGAGAGGCAGAAGGAGAGGGAGAAGTGGACTCTTCCCCCCCCACCGCCGCCCCACCGCCCTCCGAGCCAGAAGCCAGGAGCCAGATGTGGGGCTTGATGCCAGGACCCTGGGATCATGACCTGGGCCAAAGGCAGATGGGAGATGCTTAACCACCTGAGCCACCCAGGTGCCCCAAGTATTTGGTTTCTTGTTCATTATTAAAAATCCTGAATAGAGAGGGTAGTACTTCTGACAGAATCCTGATGTCTCCCCAACTCTCACATAAAGCCAGATACTGTGATACGGCTATTAAGCAACTCTTAACTTCCTGTGTAGTTACCGTTGTTAAGACTAAGTCACCTGTGGGGCGCCTGGGTGGCTCAGCCGGTTTAAGCCTCTGACTCCGGGTTTCAGCTCAGGCTGTGAACTCGGTCCTGGGATCGAGACCCGCATTGGGCTCCACGTTCAGTGGGGAGTCTGCTTCTCTGCCTCTCCCCCAGCACCCCGCCCCCCCGCTTGCATGAGCTCTCTCACTCTCTAAAATCAATCTTAAAAATGCTGCCGGTACCTGACCCTACCTGACCCAGAAATCGAGGACGGACAGAGGCACTCAGGGCATGAAACAATTATACAGGCGATTGTAAACAAACAGACAAATCCTTCAAAAGGGAAGATGACAATTTTTATTATTACAAAAGCAAATTCTTTTAACTTCAGTCATTGGAATAATTGCAAGAGCGGCTAAGGGCTTCATCCTCACAGGCACCAATTCAGGCACAGTAGGTAGCTACAAATCATAAGAAAAAGGTTTCTTTACCTCGGATTCCCACAGTTCCTACCTAGAGCATTCTGCCATGCTTTAGAATTAAGTTAAAAACCCCAGCAGAGCTACTCAGTTCCCTTGAATTCTCTGGTTTTAAAAAAAAGAGCCAGGTATTGACCTACGCTGTTCTAGTAAAAACTAGTCACTGAGTCCTGGCCTGAGAGAGATCCACATTTCCTTTAGAACAGAACAAACTAGTTAACAAAGAGGTGAGTCGATTTACGAGAGCCCAGTGGGAGTCCTTAAAATAGGCAGCCCTCCCGGGCTCCGACCTCAGTCACGGAAAGCCGGTGGATGGCGCGGAGCTGTGCTCCGGCACGCTCTTCCCGGGCAGCAGGAAAGGAGGTAGCAGGGGCTTGGGCTGACATCTGGAGCACTAAGCTAGTGTGCCTGGCGGAGGAAGCCTCAGGAAGCACAAAACGTCATTCTACCTTTGCTGCCCACGAACCTGAGGTTTCCGTGTTAAGTTTTAAAGGGCGCAGTGGCATGTATGTGTGTCGAGGCAGGAAACACTGTTCCCAGGCCGGGGCTTGCTTGAGAAATCCTAATTTTCCATCTCATCAGACGTGGTGCTGATGTGCTCTTCCCTTATTACGTTAGAGAACGTAAAGGTTCTAATCTCCACTCACACCTCCGGGCCCTTATCACATGCCTTAGTAAACAACTCGGCTAGCATATTACTGTTTCAAGGAAGCATAGGATTAGAGGTATGTGAAAAGTGTATTTATTGAAGGGAAGACTCAGTATGTTCCAGGATACTGAAAATCAAGAATGTCCTGGAACCCAAACCATCACAAGTTGAACCAATCTACCCGACCTGAATTCTGGCAGTAAACATTGGTTCAAATGGAATCCACTGAACTATCAGGAAAATAAAAACAGTCGCTATTCCACTTACTAGGAAATCTAATATAACCAACTGACTGCTAAATTTAAACCTAGTATTCTGAGTTGTGCACGTGTAATTACATTTATTTAACAAGCTGCTGCTATGGCAAGATCTCTAAAGAAACAAAGCATGAATATATCAGATGGCATCTTGCTAGAATCAGTGAAAAATTAGCGGGAAGAAATGGTGGAAGCCATGTTATCTGGAGACAGAAAACCATCCCCTAAATCCTGCTGATGGCGGTCTACTGCACACGGGTCTGTGACAGGATTCGTGGCACAGCTGACTCTGGTAAGGTCGGCCACCACTGTACAGAACACGGAATCATTCTAGAGGCGCTGGAGTGCAGTCACCAGAACTGTGACAATGAGTTTCAAAGGTTCAGAGTTGCCTGATGTTGAGAGCTGTCGTAAAAACTACTTGCCCCTTGACTACCTGAAATCCGTCCCCGAACCCACGAAGCCCCCAGTCACGTGGTGGCGGTCTGTGAGGAAGTCCGTGCCACCGAGAAGAGGGGCTGAAGTGCCGCCCTGGGGGACAGTCGTCACAGACCGCAGGGTAGTGACAACACTTGTGACTGGTCTTCCCGAAGATGCCAGGGAGTTTAGCTGATTTTTCTCAGGAGTTCATCATGGAAGCAGTTTTTGACCATAGATTGGCCTTTTTCTTGGGTTGCAAAACTGCATCTGTTTGAAAGCGTGACCCAAAATATCTGCGGCACTTGAGCTGAGGGTGCCGGGGCCTTCCGGGGGCACCCCCGGCAAAGTCCATCCCACACCAAAAACACAGTTCTTGTCGCTGAGGGAACTAGCAGACAAGGACAAGTTACCTCTTGTTACAGTGAACCACCTGTACTTATACAGTTTACAAAGTTTTTACATTCAATGATCACATATTTCAAGACTTTCAGTTCAAAACAAACAAATATACATGGGATTAAGTATTCAAGAACACTTTACTATTTGTCACTTAATTTCATGGCAATACATACTCAGTCCAACTCTTTTGGTTTGATTTTACATTGATTTTCATTGGATAAGTCCTGTTTGCAAATTAAAAACAAGAAATAGATGCTATATTTTCCCCTCTCCCACAGTAAGGTTTAAAGTGGCAATTACTTAAGATGTTCATTTCAACAATACCTTTTTCAATTCAGTTCATTAATTTAAAAAACTATAAATAATCTCACATGAAAGTTGTATACAGAATATTAGTGTAAAAAGATGCAAAGAAAGTTATGATTCTAATATATCTATGCTAAAGCCAGAGGAAAAAACGTTTGGGTCTGTATTACCCTAATCTGCGGCCAACTACCCTACTACGTTCGCATGGTCAGCCACACCCACACACGCTTGTGGAGCATAGAACGACAGCACAGGACCCCGCACTGCTCTGCAGAGCCCAGCATCACACGCTGCCAGTCCCCGCCAGACACTGCATTTCCTCATCCCAATCACTAGCCAGGGTGACTAGGAGTTTAAAATGCACCAACTCTGAGTGAATACTTCCCAAAGAACTTCCAAGTCCATATTTAACAATGTGGTTTCTTTTAAATGATTAGATCATCGTTTGCACAAATGTGTAAAAGAATCCAATGAAATCTTTATTTCATAATGACATTGGTATTCATTCTCTCTTCTATTTTGGAGGTGGGCCCTTGACAGTTGGTATCCATGTCGTTTTGCTGAAGTCTTGGCAACATGCATGTAATATTCGAAAAGTGTAAATGTTTTCATAGCAAACAAACTGGTTTTTAAAAATATGCTCGATTTAAAAATGGAAATCTATTTTTGGAAATAATTTCAGTAACTCTTGAGCTTTTAAAGATTCATTAAAATCCAAGCAATTTCTATTTTGTTCCTATTACCTTGGAGTACAAAAAGAGTTGTATATACTGATTAAAGCTCCCATAGTTCCCAGAAAAATAAAAGCCCAGAGATTTGCTGACATAATAAAATGTAGCTGAATTTCATGCAATATTAGCCATGAGTGTAGTTATGGGAAGCTGTAGAACAGTAACTCTGCTCTGTCCATATGACATACAGCCTCATCCATAAAATGAATGGTAATTCCATAGTTAGGAGAACACAGGGTTAGATTAAGTTTTATGCTTTGTGACTGGAAATACGGTCTGACTAGGCTTTTCTTTTCTGAGGGAAGGGACATGTCATTAAACATAAAATTACAAAGTATCTTATTTAGAGATAAACCACAATCTAAAAGAGGCCGAGTCTTTGATAAATGGCAACAACCCTCAAAATCAAGGGGGGCTTCCAATAAACCCAGAAAGTGGCTCTTCTCAAAGTCATGACAGTTACAGTAGAAAGTCAGCCTTCAATCTAAAAACCACCACAGTACTCCACTGTGGTTCATCCAAATAACAGTTTAGCAAATTTCAGCTTTACATTTAAGAAAACAGTCAATTTCAAATAACTGAGAAAAACTTCCATACTGTGCTTGATTCTACTTATCACTGTTAACTTTAGTCTGTGCAGATTCGGATGGTTCTAAGTATGTGTTCCTTTCGTGGCTGGATGAGATTTAGCTTTAAACCAGCAAGGACTGTCCAACCTTTAAAATTACTGATACAAATAGTAAACGAAGTAATTTGCAGAACTGGCACTTGCAATGGATACAGTTTTCATACTAGATGCATGCAGCTCTTATAAATACTAAAGGAGGCATTTTTGCCAGGTCTCAACATGCTTTCTTTATTGCAAATCCCACTAATTTAACGAGTTAATGGAATTTTCTGTAGGGGTACAATTTCATTACGCTTTACTTATAAAAACTACAGCACGCTGCTCTTTTACTTTAAAACAACTTACTGTGTTTAAGAAATCATGGTGAATATAAATTGGCAGAAAAGAGCTGGCAGACCTACTGCTAAAGCAGTGTCGCAGCTCCATAAAGGTTATTTACTGGACATACGCATTAACCATCAAAGGAAGCAGTCAAACTAATTCTTTCCTGTAATACAAACTTGCACATTGCTTGGAAATGCCTTATTTAAACTAGTGGGTAGGGAAAGAGTTTAGAAAAGTCCAAGTCATAAAATGTACTCAATTACTTGGCAAGTTAAAAAGCTAATGCAACAATGTTACATCCAGATAAAAAACGTTATTCAAAAGCAATTCAAATACCGAAAAGGATTTCAAATTGAATATTTTATTAACATGGTAGTTGTCTGTAACATGTGCACACACTCGCACACTCAGAATCATCTGCCTGGGGGAAAAGACTAAGTATGCCTAAGGGGAAATGAAAAATAAAAAAATTCCTGTAAGTTTTCATTATTGTAGGCAATTATGTCCACATCACTTACAAAGCTATTGCCAAATCTGTCCAAGGAAGCAGAGTTTGGGAGGGGAAGGAAAAAAATCGGGGGGGAAATTCAACAGTGGCATAGCAGAGCTCTCAATATGAGAAAGCTGACACAATGTGGACTTTTGCTGTGGATTTCTGTCTTTGCAAAATATGGGGAGAAGTTTGTCAATGGGCAGAAAACAAGAGAAGGCGGTGTGAAGTAGGCTTTTGCAGTCAATTTTCCTCACAGTATTGTGCAGGGTCATCAAGAAAATGCTTAGTCTTTCTCTGGAACCAGTTTCAGAACTTTTCCAATTGCAATGGTTTTACCTAGAAATGAAATTAAAAAAAAAAAAACAAAAAAACAACAGAAACAAAAACCCTTTTTCAGTAGTCAACAGCAAAGCTATGTGAGGTATTCAAGCTTATTATTTTAAATCATAAAATTATTTTTCACAATGTAAATTACTAATTAACTGGCTTTACCACCAAAGGTGTGATTTCTGATTAAGTAGTCTTAATAAGTGGGTCTTTAGAGGATGGGTGGAGTTGAAAAGAAACAATCATTTCCTGTATCATAAACCTAAGCCTGGACAAGTAAAATGTGGAATATCCGTACCGTGGAATACTATTTGGCAATATAAAGGAACAAATTACAAAGAATACATGTTACAACATGGTTGAACCTCAAAAACATGCCAAGTGAAATAAACTAGACACTAAAGACCACAAATTGTATGGGGATTCTATTTATATGGCATGTCCCAAAAAGGCAAACAGCAAAAGATCTGTGGTTGGCTAGGGATGGGAACACCAAGTGACTGTAAACAGGTATCAGGGTTTTTTAGATGTTCCAAATGTTCTAAAATTAGACTGTGGTGATGGCTGTACAACCCTGTAAATAGTCTAAAATTCACTATACTGTACACTTAAAACAAGTCCATTTCAAGGTGGATGAATGAAAATAAAGCTGTGAAGAGGGGTTCTCAGTCCTACTCTAAGGGGTACAAATCCTACGAGGTCATGTGAAAAACCTAAAACCAAGCTACTCTTTAGGAAAAAACAGTTAAACATTCTTCCTACCTTAACTTCTGTCCACCCGATTTTGTCAGTTTCTAACTGGTAACTAAGATTCTCATTTTGTTATGTTAATAGGACAAACCCAAGTAACCAGGTTCACTATTACCAAGAAGAATTAAGGTCTAAGACTTCAAAATACAGTGAATACTCTCTATACAGATTCCTCTGAAGTAAGGTTCAGGAGCCGTATTCACCATCACATCCCCAGTGCTTGTCACAGTAAGTTTTCTATCGATCAGAACTGGAACGAACGTGCGAGGTGCTGATGCTGTATTTCAAGTGAACCACTGTGTTTTATGTAAAGTTTTCCACACTCTTAAAATAGTTATCTGAGTTAGAAATACTAATAATCCAGAGAACCATTTAATAAGAGCCACTTGGTTTTCATGCTACCAAAGAGTTTCATGGTCACAAGATTCACTCAGAACTAGGTAGAAATGGACACCCACACCAAAAAACTGACCTTAAACCTCTATAAAAATCAGGTGCTGAAAGACCATCAAGGTATGTGTCCCTTTCATCCCCCCTATATCAGTGTAGTGAATGTCTGTCATATTTGATTTTAGAGTTCTACTTCAGAGGCTTGTATGGTGAAAACCTGCCTTACAGGGTTAAGCCCTTGCAGACGGGCTTTGATCACACATATCACAAAAGATTTCATCATAGCAATGCCTCATTTAGTAAATAAAATAACTCTCAAAGCCCACTACTTGCAAAGTATCAAAATTAAGATTCTTCATCTACAGCGTACTGCCACAATGCATGGTCAGTTATGCCCATTCAATCCACTCAACTCATAAACCACGTGTTACAGAACACACTACAGACACACACCCAAGTTTTCTATGAACTTGTGTGCGCCGTACTCGGACGGAACAAGCTTCACATCCCCAAGATGCTACTAGGCACGAGTGCAAAGGCTTACCCTCATCTCTTAAGGTAAAGCGGCCCATCTGAGGGAAGTCTTTAAAGGTCTCAAGGCAGATGGTTCCCGCTGTCCTTAAGCGAGCGATGCATACTTGATCTTGTTTCACAAAACGGGGTCGAGTCTTACTTTTTTCTCCTGATTTTTTGTCTACCAAGCAGATTAAGGCCTATCCAAGAAAAAAGGATGAGATCAGAGCGCCAAATAAGAAATCTTTAAGACAAGGAGTGCAGGGCACCTGGGTGGCTCAGTTGCTTAAGCGACTGCCTTCACCTCAGGTCATGATCCTGGAGTCCTGGGATCGAGTCCCGCATCGGGCTCCCTGCTCAGTGGGGAGTCTGCTTCTCCCAAGCAGATTAAGGCCTATCCAAGAAAAAAGGAT